GGGTGTTTTTTTGGGGGGGGGGGGCGAAGCTGCTTACAGCTAGAATCTCTTTGCTGGCACCCCGGAGCATGATGGTGCAGGCTTTAGGCTCCTTGCAGTCAGTAATGAAGGTGAAGTATTCGTCCCCAATTTTCTTCACTTCGAACAGCCCCGCGCCGGTCCCGACATCCTCTTCACGCAGCTCATCTGTGCGGCTGACAATGCGAGCCCCACAGGCCCTGGAAGAAGGGGGAAATGCCCTAGAATCTCTTTGCTGGCACCCCGGAGCATGATGGTGCAGGCTTTAGGCTCCTTGCAGTCAGTAATGAAGGTGAAGTATTCGTCCCCAATTTTCTTCACTTCGAACAGCCCCGCGCCGGTCCCGACATCCTCTTCACGCAGCTCATCTGTGCGGCTGACAATGCGAGCCCCACAGGCCCTGGAAGAAGGGGGAAATGCCCTTTTTTTAAATGCTCCATCTTGGTACCCAAGTCTAGTGATGTCATGCGTGCACTGTACTTTTTTTTCTTGGTGCATAGACTTCCTCAACAGGATGTTTTGCTTCTTCTTGTTTATTCATTGAGCCTCGAATCTATGGGAAGTTGGTCCCAAATAAGATCCTGATGATAAATACCCTCCCTCCCATTTCATCTGCTCTAACACAACGGTATGCGTTTAATGGAGCATCCTGACGGGGCCTTGCTAAATTTGCTCCTTGCCTTCTACGGCCTGTTTCGGACAGGCTTCCAGACAGTGAAGTGTCCTCCATAAATTATCCATGTTCTCCTCTGTGATTTTAAGAAGTGTTCAATCCTTCTAACAAGCCATTTCCTCTTCACAGCTGGTTTTAGTCGTCGTCCCCCCCCCCCTTATTCAGTACTGGTTAGGTCTCATATAGAGTACCGTATCCAGTTCTGGAAACTGCATTTTAAGAAGGATACCAGCAAACTCGAAAAAGTTCAGAAAAGGGCAACAAAGAAGATCGGGGGACAGGACAACAAGCCCTAGGAGGAAAGACTGAACTGGGCATGTTTAGACTGGAAAAAAAGAAGACAGAGTAGATAAGATAGCACTTTTCAAATATTTGAAAGATGGTCATACAGAGGAAGGGTAGCATCTGTTTCCAGTCATCCCAGAGTGCAGGACATGTACTAATGGGGTCGAGCTACAGGAAGCCAGATTTAGGCTGAATAGCAGGAGAACCTTCTTAACTGTTAGAGCAGTACGACAATGGAACCCATAACCTCGGGAGGGGGTGAGCACTCCAACACAGGATGGATTCAAGGGAAATTTGAACAACCACCTGCCAGATCTGCTTTGATAGGGAGTCCAAAGCAGGGGGTTGGACTCGATGGCCTTATAAGCCCCTTCCAACGCCACTATTCAATGATTCTAAGGAGCAAAGGGAAATTTCCAGAGCTGATATGGCCCCCTTGTTTCCTAGAGAGAAACGCCACATCAGTTTCAAAACGAAGAAAATACTCGAGTCTTCACCCAAAGCTAGCAAGTACAGACAAGGGAGTGAAAAGGGACATAAAGGCCTTTACTGTTGTGCTGTACCCCGGGGCTAAGTTAGTTCCTATACTCCAAGGACTAAATGCATACGATGTAGTACTGAAGAACAGAACCCATGCTAGGACTGTCAAAATAAAATATATGTTCTTACTACTCAGTTTAAAAGTTTCCCAGTTCATTCCGCAGAAAACCTGGGTGCATTCACCTTGCAATACGATTGTTGTCAGTTTTCCTCAAACGTCGGATAGCGGTGATGTTCGCTCTCATCAGGAAATGCTGAGCCAGGTCTGGAGTGTTTTCAAAGCAATAATAAGAATAACAATAACGTTTCACACAGTACTATAAACAGTTGCAGATCTCAGAAATCACACCATCAGAGCTACAAAAAACGGCAACATTGGGAATAGCATACATACTCCAATATTTAACAGATGCCTAGGTTTCTGGTTAAAACTTGTATCTGTTATACAACATCAGTCCATATTTTTATAATTTTGAATGTTTCTGAATAATGCTTAGTTACATGTCTTGTGTAATGAAGATTTTCACCAGATTATCTGCCAGGAAATACATTTATTTTATTATATTGTTTTATTATATCTATTATTGTTCGCCGCCCAGAGTAGACTTCGATCTAGATGGGCAGGGTATAAACTGAATGAATGAATGTATGTCCTTTGGTTTACCTGAAATGCCCTTTTCCGTGATTATAAGATCTGGTTTGACTCTGATCAAGTCCTCACACATCTGCTGAACGAAGTCCTCCTCCATTTGCAGGATGCGAGCAAAGTCCTCCTCGCGAGTGATCTCAATGTCCGTCTACATGAAAAGAACAAAAATCCTTTTGCATGACTTTACCGTTCACTGGGAAATTCAGATTATGGCAGAAGTCTATTTTTAAGAACCTGTTTCATTCTTTATGAATTAGAAATGCAGATCTTTCCTCTCTTTTACTGACTTGGATGTATGTTTGCATACCATGTGAAGCTACAGGTGGCTCTATCTCGTGATGGCTGGTCGTACTGTTGCCTACTTTTAGAGTAGATCTATTCTCTGCTGCTTTACCTCTTTTTTTTCGGGGGGCATCGCCTTTTAATGGGTTCTTTCGGACTTTTAGGACAAGCACCGGAAAACACAAACTGGGGGGGGGGATTAAAATGATCCAAAAGAGGTCATTAAAACAAGAGACTAAGGCACAAAGGTGGTACCTCCTGAAAGAATCCAACAAGAAACAAAAATGAAAGATTTCCCCATACATTATCGCTGGTTTCAAGCACCTTGCCTCCTGAATTACTGAATTAACACGGAACAGAAAAAATATGCAAAGAGAAACTGTGTAACAAAATCAAGTTTTTCTTGATTTTGCAATGACAATAAATTATTATTATTATTTATATTTCATATTGCTTGGATGCAAAACATGGTTCTGAGTATAATACAGAAAACTTTATACCGAAACAAAATTAATGACTTGCAGGTATGTTGTCCCATGATACTAGTCATTACTTATTTTATAATATGCAGAGGCAAAGCACTCTGATTCGGGGGTGGGTGGGGTGTGACACAACGCTTCTGATTCCAAAAGAAGGAAGCAGACGATGAAGAGGATAGCAAACAAAGAAATCCATCGGCTTTCGAGAGTTCTTAATTTCAGGAATTTGACTACAAACAACCAAACCGGTGAGAGCGAGGGCAGTTGCAGCAGATAAAACAGACGACCACTCAGGAAACCTGGGTTCAAACTCCTGCTCTGCCATGAAGACTCACTGGGGGGATTTTGCTAGTAAAATGGCTCCTTAAATAACTCATCGATCTGAAAAACCCTAGCAGAGTCACTATAAGGCATTGTTAACGACCCGTACAGTTCAGATAAGGTTGGTAATCATCACAAGAAAAGCTTTTGCTCAGTTGAATCATTCAGAATTCTATCCGATACGTGGAACGCTCTGAGGTCCGTCCCACCCACCCCATTCATTCATCAGCACAAAACAAGAGAGGTCTTCCCAGTCATCCCAGTGAATTTCGTTGTATGTGTATATAATTACAATGACAATAAATTATTATTATTATTATCAATATACCTGACTCTCGCCTTTTTTGTACTCCAGCGAGCAGTCCAGCAAGACAATACGAGGGTTCTTGATGGTACGTCGCATTCGTGGATGGGTGATATCTTTATTGATCATGACCCCACGCAGGACACAGGAATCCTCAATAAAGCCACCAGGAATCTGAAGGAAAGTTTGGGGGGGGGGAGAGAGAGGGGCTATTCAGATTTTGTTGCAAAACTATACCACCTGGTAAACCTCATTTGCTTCCAGACGGGTATCCCACAGAGATTTACACAATCAAGCTTTGAGATTTGTAGCACAGGCTAAACCAAGGACAACAAGCAAGGGTCTGAAAGCTCACATGACGTGTACACCCCAAGAGATTTCGGCGGAGCAAAGGGAGCCAGGCCCCAACAGATGTGAAAGCACCTTTCACTTGCGCACGTCATCGGACCAGGAGTGGGGTGATTGAAATCTCTTTCAATAAGCAACCCTCTTTCTATAAATACTTAGAAAGGTGCTTAATACTGCATCAGGCTCTCGATTCTCCTAGTCTAGAATTGTCAACTCTTGACTGGTAGAAACTGTCTCTAGGATTGTGGACAGAATCCCCTTGTCCTAACTGGAGAGCCCAAGTATTTTGAGCACATAGGCACTCCAAGCACTAAGCAGGCCTGACCCTTCTTAGCTTCTGAAATCGGTCAAGGTTAATGTGCGCAGGATAGCCTGGCAAGAATACATGAAGCTGTCGTCTAGTGATGATTCCAGCGTTGCTGACTTTTTATAAGTCAAACGATTGCTGCAGCGGGACGAGCGGTATCTCCTTTGACCGCTCCCAATGATGGCTTTTCCCAGCCCTATGCTCTGAAGGCCAGCTAACAAAAATAGAAAATAAATCTGCATATAAATCATACGCTGCACCGAGAAAACGGGGTAATAGCTATCATTCAGCCAGCTTGGTTATTGGAATGGAGCAGTGGACAGAAATCTGCATCAAATCTGCCTACTCCCGGCCACAGGAAAAGAAGACCTTAATAAAGCTCTAAAAACATGACTGTCACTTTGGTGTGGCCAAAATCCTTTTAGCTACTTCCTGGCATAATATAACTACTGTAAATCACGGTAGTGAACTGCCACAAGTCAACACAAGGATTTTCCGTTGCGCTCCGAGTCATGTCACTGGGCATGCAACAACACATGACTGCTTAACTTGCAGGGATTTGCTGCCTAGATTTACTCTGGTCATGTTACAGAGGTGTAAAGCCACAACAGGAATCCCGCTTCTGATTCCGACTTTTCCTTTGTGATTATGGTAAAGGCGATTACAGTGGGGTCTCGACTTACGAACTTAATCCGTATTGGAAGGCAGTTCTCAGGTCGAAAAGTTCTTAAGTCGAATCGCAACAGGAATCCCGCTTCTGTTTCTGACAACTTTTCCTTTGTGGTTATGGTAAAGGCGATTAGTTCTTTGTCCTAATCTATCCAAATTTAAGCAATGACATCCCCATGCTGAAAACAAGTACTGTACTGGCTCATCAAGATTAACATACTTTACTTTTCTACAGTTCTTGCTTCAGCAGCATAAGACGGACGCCCTTTCTGAGAGACTTCATTCTTTTTCTCCATGTTTTAAGAAACCCACTCTCGTTCCAGAAATGTTTTTTCCCCCCGTCCTAATCTATTCAAATTTAAGCAATGACATCCCCATGCTGAAAACAAGTACTGTACTGGCTCATCACGATTAACATACTTTACTTTTCTACAGTTCTTGCTTCAGCAGCATAAGACGGACGCCCTTTCTGAGAGACTTCATTCTTTTTCTCCATGTTTTAAGAAACCCACTCTCGTTCCAGAAATGTTTTTTCCCCCCTCCACCTTTGTACCTTTTCTACTTTAGCATATTTCTTGATGTCAATTTCCTTCCTGCCGTTCTCTTCAAACTCCACGGTCTTGACTGCATCGAGGGCAATGCTGCAGGCCAGGTCCGACCAGCGGCTTATCGCCTTGGTGCCAATGGCGCTCTTGATGATTTTGAGCATGGCTTCACGGTTGTTAATGTCGACTGGAGTGCTGCAGAAAACAAGCAAAAAGACTGCAGCCCAGGAAAAAAACATATAGCAGACCCCCTAGCACACAATCCTAACGGCTCAGTACAAGGCGATTTAGCTCTCATGAATTTTTCAAGGAAGTGTCCATATGAATCTACAAAGAACAAGGAGAGGTGTTCGCTCCACCCCGCAGCCAAAAGAAAACTTCAAGGCGAGCAACGTGAGTGGTTTGGAGATGGGGGAATCAGAGTCACTGACAACCTTTTGGTCCAAAAAGAGGGGTGTAAAAATTCCAAACCATGCTGATGGGATGCGTGAGACCGTAGCCTCAAGAAGGACTGACATCAACCCTCGCAGAAACGTACCATCAATTTTTAGACCCTCTTCTGCCCAAAGGATTGGGCTCAATCTGAAAAAAGTGGCATTTTCTCCATGAAAGCTTGCGATTTGTTTGGGTTTTTTTTTTAAGTGGTCCAATAAAAGGCACCTTACCTTCATATGACTCAATAGCAACATAAACGACAAAGATTCTTGCAGCACCTTAATCACTTGCAAGTTTTATTTATTTATTTAGATTTATACCCCGCCCATCTAGACTGGGTCTACTTTGTTTTATCTGTGAATGTACCCTACTTGAGTGAGCTCCAGTCCAGGAAACGCTAATACTAAATGAAAACTCAGCCTTATAGTTTCTGCACCACTCTATCGTTTTAGCCTTTACAAAGCCTTCCCTTGGAGATGCAGGGTAAATAGTTTTATGTGTTCACTGATCAACTTCTGTTTGAAGTCTGTTGTCTCTTCAAAGAGCTGCAAATGTTGTGGTATCAGGGTCCGCATTGATTTTGATCTGTATCACATTACTATTGAAGACATATGAACTTCTTCATGTACCCCAGTGTTGACTGCTCTGCCGGACAGCAGTTCTGCAGTGGTCCCCAATCTTGGGCCTCCAGATGTTCTTGGACTTCAACTCCCAGATATCCTGGCCAGCAGAGATGGTGGTGAAGGCCTCTGGGAGCTGCAGTCCAAGAACATCTGGAGGCCCAAGGTTGGGGACCCCTGCTTTAAGGTCTTTCATCTCCTTTATCTGCAGATGGCATCAACCTTAAGACCTCCCTTACAGAAGGAATGTCATCAACCATTCAAAAGGAAGAGAGAGAGACTGAGATAAAAATGTGGGTTTCTACGTACAGTGGTGCCCCCCATGACGACAATAATCCATTCCAGGAAAATCGCTGTTAAGCGAAATCATTGTTGTGCAAAAAGAATTCCCCCTTGGAATGCATTGAAACCCATTTAATGTGTTCCAATGGGGAAATTACCTCATTGTCCAGCGAATATCGCCAATAGGGGAAGCCATTTTCCGAGTGACGATCAGCTGTTAAAATGGCTGCCCTGCGAAGCATGGATCTGGAAAACACAGGGCAGCCATTTTGCGGAACCGGAAAAATCATCGTTTTTGCGAACAAACAGTTCACGAAGCAAGGACCTAATAAAAAAGTCATCGTCATGCGATTTTGTCATTCTGTGGGGTCGTTGTCATGCGGGCCACTGCTGTGCTTGGCGTAGGTCCCCATTTCAAGGCGGGTACCCGCCAATTATCTTCACACATACCATGTACCTTTCTAGTTCCCGTTATTCAACTCACCTGATTTTTTTCAGAGCACTGATCATGTCATCGAGAGCCTTCCGGTAGGCACTAATTATCACGGTCGGGTGCATCTGCTGCTCCAAGAAATGCTCTGCTACTGACAACATCTCTCCAGCTGAAAAGCAAACCAAGGATTGGACCATGGGCATTCATTATTACGGGAAGCATTGAAGACAATGAAAAACTCAACCTTCCAAAGACCTCAACCTCCAACATCTTCTGAACGTCACACTCTTACACAAGAACAAAAAATTGCTTGATGGCAATATATCTAGTGAACAGCCAAGGGAGTTGGCTGAAACAGAAGGAGGTGAGATGGGAAGCAGGAAAGTTTTCCCAATTCAGCTGGAAGACGGCTTGCCTCCCTCCCCCTATTCTTTCTTTATCATGTTTTTCCTGAGACAACAAACTAGACACAAGGACTACTGTCTTCTTTTTAGTCACTGAAAGGAAAGCAGTTCCTAAGGCTCTCTGGTTGAGAAGTGTCAAAATGCTTTAAACAAACAAGGCAAACGGTGATTGTTGTGGGTTTTTCAGGCTCTTTGGCCGTGTTCTGAAGGTTGCTCTTCCTAACGTTTCGCCAGTCTCTGTGGCTGGCATCTTCAGAGGACAGGAGTCAGAAATCTGTCCGTGCTCTGGTGCAGTTTGTTTGGATAGTTGAGTATTTATAGCTGTGGGATCAGCTTTTGTCCTTTTCAGGAGATGGGTGATTGTGGTGATCAGCGTGTTTTCTGTTGCGGGTGTACTGTTGTGATAAGAGAGACGATCTGTCACTGTGACTGATGGGTGTCGTTAGCTGGTCTTTGGTGTGCAGTGATCACCTGTCCTTGTAGCTGGGTAGAGTTTGTCGACCTTTTGCAGCCTGTATTTTTCAGTGCTGGGAGTCGGGTTTTGTTGAATTTTACTTTCTTCTTTTTTGCTGAAGCTCTGCTGGTGTTCGTGAATTTCAATGGCTTCCTAGTGCAGTCTAACATAATGATTGCTGATGTTGTCCAGTACTTCAGTATTTTGAAATAGAATTTAATGTCCAGCTTGTTTTAGGGCATGTTCAGCTACTGCCGTTTTCCCGGTTGTTTTAGTCTGCAGTGTCTTTCATGTTGATTCTGGTGTGGATGCTTCATTTTGTGGTTCTAGTATGTACCCGGCCACAACTGCAAGGTATCCAGTATACTCCTGCAGTGGTAAGGGGGTCCCTTTTGTTCTTTGCTGACCGTAACATTTGTTGTATTTTTTGTGGTAGGCTTGAATACTGTTTGTAGGTTGTGTTTTTTCAAAAGCTTCCCCATGCGATCCATGATCCCTTTGATGTATGGCAGAAATACTTTATTTGTGGGTGGCTGTTTTTCCTTCTTCATTTTGGTGTTGTTTTCTTCGTTTGATGGGGCTTGTGATTTCATTTTTGGAGTAGCCATTCGCCCGTAGGACCCAATTCAGATGGTTGAGTTCGGTGCTGAGAAATTCAGCTTCAAAGTTCTGATCTGCATGGTGTACCAGTGTTTTGATTATGCCTCTTTTTTGCTGTGGGTGATGGTTGGAGTTTTTGTGTAAGTACCGGTCTGTGTGGGTGGGTTTTCTGTAGCCCTTGTGTCCCAATAGGTCAGTTTTGCATATGACCATGACATCTAAGAAAGGGAGTTGGCCCTCTATTTCTTTTGCCATGGTGAATTGTATATTTCGGCGGATGCTGTTGAGACGCTTTTCAAATTCTTCCAGTTTTTCTGCACCGTGGTTCCAAATTGCGAAAGTGTCATGCACGTATCCACAAACAAGGCAGACATTTATGTAAACCAGACAGCATCTTTCAGCAATCTTGGGTCCTGTCTTCTGACTCCTCCTCCCCAGTCATTCCTGCCAGCTACCCAGAAACAGAGGCACCATCAGCAATGGTGTGCATTCAGTGGAATAAAGGATGTTTTTTGGCAGCCCCACTGGCCAAAAGTATGACAGTAGAGAAACGGTGTGCTCATTCTGTCACATGAAGAAATCTGTGCTCATTCTGTCACATAAAGCATCATGCTATTTTCACTGAGAAATAGTTCAGACTGGCACAAGCAACTCCTCATTAAATTGGTTTTACTTGATATGCAAGTGGCTATACTGCAATGCTCTAGATGTAGCATCAATCTCGCATGCACAAATAAACACACACACACACCCCTTCACACAGCCTAGAAGAGTCTCCCGAATCAGGTGCACCAGAAATAAACAAGAAAGAGCTTTTACATGCTCTAGTCCAGACCCATTTAAACAAGGGTGGGTCAACTCTGTGGGGCCCAGGATGAATTTTCTGCCTCTGTGATATATTATTGGTTAGACACATGCAGACACACCTGTCCAAAGAAAGCTAGAAGCTGGATTTCCACTTCTAGATTCTTAACTCTATTTTTGTTTTCAGGGCAAAATAATACTGGGGGGGATGTCTTGGGGCAAATTGTTACTCCTGGAGGTGTTTTTCCTTTTGGGGGCCTATTTTTTCTGGAGGTTGGGTGCTATACGCTATCTCCAGCCCCCATCCTGCCCAACCCATTCTAACAGTAGGTTTCCTTAACACGTTCAGACATGTTTGGTCTCCCACCCTAAAACGGCCCAAATGAGGCGATCATTTTAATTATTCTCGTTTTCTTACAGAAATACCAACACAAGAAATATTTCTTTCCATATAATGCATCCACGGGCCTCTACCGTTTACGCCATCTCTCGTGGGTATCTGTGGACGTTCTTACCAAGAATGATAACGGACGTGGTCCCGTCTCCCACTTCTTCATCCTGAGTGCGGCTGATCTCAATCATGGATTTGGCAGCTGGGTGCTGGACCTGGATCTGGAAAGCAGAAAGTTACTTTAGAGGCACCCATCTTGGAGCATGCCTGTTTCCAGAGAGCGTGAGTAAAACTTCATGGACTGCTTTTATGCTTTGAAGCAAACCCACATAGAAGTGGAATGGAATTAAAGTCAACGATAAGGAACAGCTATAGATCTACCCCGGGGAGGCACATGGTTCAGGGAGAACCTTACAGGAGTGGCCCATGGGTCCGGGAAGCATGGGACATAAATGAGAAATTTCACAAAGAATTTTATGCTTCCAATTGCAAACGTGTGAAATGGCAACTGCAATACATTCTCTGTCTCTGTGGAAGAACTACTTATGTGATAAACCTAACTCTGTAGCTTGCATTGCATCCTGCCCTGCCTCTTTACAGCCTGGCAATGACATCTGAGAGGTGAAAGGTGACAGAAATGGCCAAACCCTACCACAGCCTTTCCAACTGAACGTTCTCTAAAAGGACATGCTGCAATTTGAGGTTTGTTCTTCAACCCATCTTTCCTTTTTTCGGCCAGGTACAATTACACCAAGAAGCCGGAGCCAGCGTTAAGGCAACTTACTTCTCTAAGAATAGCGTTGCCATCGTTGGTCATGACGATCCCTCCCATGGGGTCCAACAGCATCTGCAAGGAATTAGGAACATTTCTCTTTAACATCCACAAAAGGGAGCACAAACACAAATCGATCAAGTTGAATTAATGGCGCCATAAAGGAAAAGAGGTCTCTCACCTTCATCATCGCCCTTGGACCTAAACATGTTCTGATAATGTCAGCAATAGTCTGAAAAAAAGAATCGCAAGGCAATATGATTATCGAAAGAACTACTACTAGACAGCTCAGTGGTTTAGGTGTCAGAGGTTGTGAGTTCGATTCCCCACTGTGCCTGCTTAACAGGGGCTGGACTCGATCCAAAGGGCCCCTTCCAGCTCTGCAATTCTAAGATGATGTAAAGTTAAGAAAAGACATAAGAAACCTATGCTTTGACTTTGAGAAAGAAATATCATGTAAGATGCAACCCTGCATTCATTTGAGTTAATTCAAACTCAAAAGGAAGTTATCAAAAGGAAAAATAGTGTATAGCTTGTATGAAGACAACTAGACCATGAATTTGGCTAGAAACATATAGTATATGTATGCTTCTCTCACCCCATGAGTCAATATTACTCATTTTTTAGTTTAAAAAGGCTCAGTGATAAGCTGGGTGCTTTCGTCTTATAGTTTGGTGTGTATTGATGAGTGCTGCTTCCACATGACCTTGGGATTTTTAAACACGAATAGAAACTCCAGGACAGTTGTTCTTAAGTACTGTTTGCCAAGATCTGAATAACAACCTTTTTTTCAACCCTCCCATCCTCGAAATATGCCTGCATTTAATATTAACCTTGGACTGCAGTTAATACAACACATCAGATAGGCTTCATCCTACAGCACGAGTATTTGGCAGTTCCTCCCTTGCTACGGATTGATTATCTCACTGATGCATAAATACTGCCAACACTAATTACCAAACTGAAGAAATGGGTAAATCTAGTCTTCCTTAAAGAATGACAATTTTATTAGTTCCTTGTTTTGTTTTTGAACCCGATGGAAATCCAGTTAAGACATTCAACTGGTGGAACAGTAAAAGGCTGTGAAGCACAGATAGGGTAACACCTTAAAAATGACATCCCAGGTCTATTCATAGGAACACAGAATAGTTGAGCTGGAATGGGCCTATAAAGTCACTGAGTCCAACCCCCTGCTCAATGTAGGAATCCAAATCAAAGCAGATTTGACAGAGGGTTGTCCAATTTTTCTCTTGAATGCCTCCAGCGTTGGAGCACTCACCACCATCTGAGGTCATTGGTTCCATTGTTGTACTGCTCTAACAGTTAAGATTTTTTCCCCTAACTGTTAGAGCAGTACGACAATGGAACTAATGGAACTAATTCACATAAGGGTGACCTTTATTCTGAAAAGCCACATTCTCTGTCTCCCAAGATGCTAATTTCAACAAGGATGACAACTGTCCATTGGTCAATGAAGAAAGCTACTGCAGTTCTTCCATTCCTCCCTCCTCTCTATTCCTTTTCCCTTTTTATGTCATCTATATTCAATGGTGAATTTCTTGGCAGGGTCTGTCACGTCTTTTAATTTATGTATACCTAGAAAAGTATTGGTGCTTTGTAAACATTTAGCTACAATAACAACATATTCTAGGATGAAGTTTACAGAATAACATTACCTGCTATATTTATTAGTATTCTGCCTGGGTCTTGCTAGGGAAGCAGAATAGCAAAGACACAGGGTTGCAGCCATATTCTCTATAAACAGCAAGCATGCAGGTGAACTTTGTGCTTTGAATCCTTCACGCCCTGATGAACACTGCATTTCTGCTTTAAATGAGAATTTATCTAGTGATATTGGATAAGTTCTGCACTGCAGTGTACAGTCTGGTTTCTAGTTCATTTAAGTAACCCATGAATTTTACCTACTGCTCTATGGGATTACAAAGAGAGCAACTAGAAATTTCTTAACACACTCACTGTACCAGCACCTCTTACTAATAAATTATTTCTGTCACTTCTTCCAGTAACCTTAAGACAGGACATATACATTCTATTTTACCATTCAAACAATTCCCAAGAACAGATCATATTGGAGAGGAAAAAAGATAAATTGGTCAAAGACTACTGCTAAGGAGAGATTTTAACTCAGATCTTTTTGCTTCCACCCCAAGGTTCTATCCGCTACATTACATTGTCTCAGAGTATGTTAGGAGCCACACTTTTTTGCAGCACAAGTTTGCACTTCTACACATCTCTCGTGTTCTGAGGAATCCTCCAGACACCAGACATGTAGTAACTCTTTTCTCATTGCATTTTCCAGTAAATTATACCTTAGCTGCATTAATGTTGCCAGACTGGACTTTTCTTCCAGACTCCCGCTTTGTGTTCTGACCTTTAAAAAAAAAAGAATAATAATTAGAATTTAATCTAACACTTATAAAAATCCAGCTTTTTACTTTAATCTCTTGCGCACTTCTCCCATTTTACCTGCAACCAAAGAGGACCTTAACAAAGCAGGCTACAAGGAAGGACAGACCAGCTATTATACCAGTCAAGAAAAGGGCTATCACTAGATTATTTGTTCTTCAACATGTATGTTTTTCTCTCATTTGGATCTTTGGGAATCTAAAGAAACATTAATTTCTATTGACGATCAATTTTGTGAGATCATATTTATTTTACTGCATCTTTGCGCTCAACAGAAAATCAACTGGAGGAACTATCCACCAAGAAATACAGTCCAGGCACTCTGCTCCCTATTTCAGATTTTCCACACGAACATCTCTGCAACCTGTACTCTGCCTGTGTAACGTGGGTTTCTGTAGTACAGATCCACGCCCTTTTTAGGCAGCAGCTTCTACTCTATCCATCACCCTTAAATCCACATGTCTATCACAGCTTAATCTGATTCTTCTTTTAAGAAGGAAAAAAGAAAAGAAAACAGCACAACTCCAAAGGCAGAGGACAAAAGTAAAACAGGAAAATTCTTCAAATGAAACTGTCTTCACTATACACTGAAGTGAGTCTTCACTGAATCTCAATTTAGCAGAGGGAACAAAAGACACAGAGCAATAGGATACAATACAAGGAACTCACTTTCTAATTTCCCTCAGTATGACATGCAGACAAGGCTGCAGCTGCCTGGGAGAGTACATATATACATATATACATACATATACATACATACATACACATATATATATACATATATACATATACATACATATACATATACACATACACATACACACACACACATATATATATGGGAAGTATAGGGAATATATAGTGGAAAAAAGTAACAGAAACAATATATAAAGGACACTACTAGAATTCACAAGGCTTCTTGAACGAGGCAGGGAATTTTGGCAGCTGGGTCAGTGACAAAAGAAACACTTAACATACACCTCCAGGGTGTAAACATACAAACGTTCATGAATCAAGGAACTGAGAGCAATACAAATGCCACTTCTGGGGATCTATCTGATAGGAAAGGTTAATAGAAAACAGGCAACTTCCCAATACTTCATTTGAAGTCTAGGAAATAAAAAGAAAGCAGGGAATCCTGTAAGTTGAGATGGGGCTTCAGGATTCTTTGTAGATATACCGTATTTAAAAGAACAAGAATATGAGGGGAAATTAGAGGCATGAGTCTATCATTAACCGATACAGTATATGTATGTGCCAGTGTGGGTTCATAGCTATCCTTATACATATATCTATACACATACTTACACATATTTATACACACATATATACCCTGATGGCAATTTTAGAGTATATATTTTAATGGCATTTTAATCATTGTATGTTTTTATTGTATTTTAATTGTTGTCAGCTGCCCAGAGAGACCTTTGGGTGGTGTGGGTGGCATATAACATAAATAAATAAGTGTGTGTGTGTGTCTATAAACACTCAAATATATAGATATACACACATAGATCGATAGATACACACACACACACACATACATATACACACACTTATATACAGATATATATACACATACACACATATATAGATATACACACATATATACACACATACATAGATATATATACATACGCACATATAGATACACATACACACATATATACATATACACACACATATACACACATATATAGATATACATACACACATATATGGATACACACACTCTTACATATACACACTTATATAGATATATATATACACATACGCACACACACACTTATATACTGTATAGATAATATACACACACTCTTAAAGATACAGGGACCGAAAGCCATGGCCCAAGGCCTCCCAGGGCTCGTCTGTGGGGGGGGGGAGGAGGGCCCCCACTTTAGGGGAGGCCCATCAATTAATGAACCCGCCGCCCCAGCCCCCCCTCCCCTCTCTAATTAAGGGCGGGGTCGCCGGGGGGCTTCTCCCTTCCCTTTCCCCCCCTTCCTCCTCCCCCCATCCCCCTTTTTCCCCTCAGACTCAACTGAGCACGAGGACGGGGCGCTGGCCCAGCATCTTTCGAGGGCGGCAGGAGAAGCCGGCGCGCACGGAACCTTCTGGAGGCGCCTGAGAGGAAAAGGAGGAGGAGGAGGAGGGGCGGAGAAAGGGAACGCCGCTTCACCGCCGCCTTGGGACAACCGAACCCACTAGGACGGACGGACGGACGGCCTCCCAATCAGCGACCTGAATCCTGGAGTCCCCCAGCCAATGGCAAGGCGAGCCCTGTCAGCTTGACCCCGCCCCCCGCGGCCCTTCGAACCAAGATGCGTTGACCGGCCAACGGGCCACGCTTTCTCCTCCTCTCGTCTCCGCTTCGCGTTGGAGCAAAAGAGAGAGAGATGCGCACGCGCGGCACCTCCTGGGACGCGCATGGGCAAAAGCCAACGCCTTGCGGGGGAGGGAGGGGGAAAGTGTGTGTGTGTGTAGTTCTTGAAAGAGCGCGTGCGCACAAGCGTGCCGAGGGAGCGGTTGGGCGGAGCGGATGGAGCCCTCCCACCGGCGGTCGCTGCCGCATTTGCCGCGCTCCGACCACGACCAGGCGCACCCTAGAGGCCAGTTGGAGGATTTGTAGCCTTGCCCCTCTCTCTCTCTCTTTTCTCGTCCCCAGGGGTATCCTGGGAATTGAAGTCCCG